TCATTCTGTCCTTAAAGAGTGCTTGCAATAACAAGATGCCACAACAAGAGTAAATATCTTAAAATATTAAAAATATGGTAAAAGGCAATATGCTAAAATATGGCATTGAGCCCTGATAGTAACTCTTCCTAAAATTCCCAAACAACCTGATCATGTACAGCTCTGGAAGAGGAAATTTTATAACCTCAAGGCAATTGGAGAAACTTTGAACTTATTTAAAAGTTTGGAAAAAGAATTCTATAGCTTCAGATTCAGGAGGGTGATTCCATTTCTGTGTATTTTACCAATATCAAATAAAACCCTATAATTAGAAAAGAGACATGTTAATGACAAAAAATTGTGGGTTAGCAGATTCTTCCATATGTGGAAAGTTCTTTTTAACTAGCCTTAGGGACAAAAGGCAATCCTCTCTACAGAAGCTACAGAATTCCATGCAATCTGAATATATAAATCTTACCTAATGTTTCTTGTGCTGTATCTTTGCACTTTGGTAGAAGCCCAGAAATATATACTGGAAAAGAACATCAGATAAAATATATTGGCGCATTATACTTGCCTATTATACATCCCATATCTTAAAATGACTTATCTCACAGTGATGCTTTGTCTGCCATCTTGAGGTTCTGAAGGAAAAGCAGGATTAAAATAAGTCTACTAAAATAAAGTAAATGAGGATGCATTGTATTGTGTAAATAAACTATTCTATTTGCTGATTTTTTTCCCTTGTGACGTTTGGATTTCTTGCTGTCCCTAACCTGAAAGTAATTTAAATTCAATAAATTAGTTATCTAAGTAGTAGTGCAACTGAAATATAGTAACATAGTTTAAAACTATTTCAGTTTATATAACTCTGAACAACCAACAGATATAATCACATATAATTACATAATCACAAAAAAGCCAACATAGTGCTAGGCTGCATTAACAGAGGGATAGAATCAAGATCACGTGAAGTGTTAATACCACTTTACAATGCCTTGGTAAGGCCACACTTGGAATACTGCATCCAGTTTTGGTCACCATGATGTAAAAAAATGTTGAGACTCTGGAAAGAGTGCAGAGAAGAGCAAAAAAGATGATTAGGGGACTGGAGGCTAAAACATATCAGGAACGGTTGCTGGAATTGGGTATGTCTAGTTTAATGAAGAGAAGGACGAGGGGTGACATGATAGCAGTGTTCCAATATCTCAGGGGCTGCCACAAAGAAGAGGGAGTCAAGCCATTCTCCAGAGCGCCTGAAGGCAGGACAAGAAGCAATGGATGGAAACTAACCAAAGAGAGGAGCAACCTAGAAGTAAGGAGAAATTTCCTGATAGTTAGAACAATTAATCAGTGGAACAACCTGCCTCCAGAAGCGCTTAATTCTCCAATACTGGAAATTTTTAAGAAGAGACTAGACATCCATTTGTCTGAAATGGTATAGGGTTTCCTGCCTGAGCAGGGGGTTGGAGTAGATGATCTCCAAGGTCCCTTCCAACTTTTTATTATTGTTATTGTTATTGGTTTTTTTTGTTGTTATATATCTAAAACTCTATTAGAAACCATGATAGAATGCTAAACATATAATTCAAAACAAATACAGTAGCTAGTAAAATAAAACATTAATCTTTTAGGACAACAGTGATAACACAATGAAGCCAAACAACAGCAATAATAATTATAGTTATTGTGTTTGTATTATAGAGGCAGAACGCTTTTCTATTCAAAATACACCAAGCATAGGATAACAATAGAAAATGAAAGTAATGCTAAAAATAAATGTATTTATTACCTCTGCAAAGTTATATTTCTCTTTCAATTGCCTTGTTTTATTTATTTTTAAATAACTTATTTGTAAATAACTTTGCAGAGGTAATAAATACATACAGTTTTCACTTCCCGGAGAAGCTTTCTCCAACAGAAAAGTTGTAATTAAATGATCTATAAAAGTATAAATACGCTTCAAAAAGTCTGTTTTGGATAGAGAGTTCCAAAGGGTTCATCATGACTGCTTCACAAACTCATTTCCAAGAATGTAATAGCATGTGGGAATGATCTTGGGTGGGGTGGGGGGGGGGAGTGGGGGTGGGGGAGAGAGAGAAATAGAGGCTATCTGGGGAACAGTCAGATAACAGAGGGCACAGTCCATAGCTCCATAAGAGGTGGAAAAAGAAGCTCAGAAGGAGCCCCACCTGTCAAAGTTCTCAGACAATAAAGGAGCCACAGGGAGATTTGTACTTTTGCAAGTTTCTGTTAATGTAGCCTTACATTAAAGTAGAATTAGTTCTTTTGGTTGTGTTTCTTGTCCGATACACCTTGGAAGGCTGACAAAGAGTGAGATGACTTAAGATGGAGCTGTCCCTGCCGACCTGAAAGAGAAAGCCCTTTGTCTAATCTGCTCCTGATTAAAGCGGCCATTACCTAATGGGCAGTTTAAAAATGTAAATTAATAAAATGCATGATGACTTAACCAGGTTTTCCTGACTATGTTTTAAAGATTAATTTAATGAATAACATCTTTGAAACCTCCTTGTGGTAATGCAGCAAGCTCATGGAAAAGTAAGATTCAGTGTAGCAAAGCCTAAACATCTTAGGATTTATCAAGAGGACTTTGTTCTCTCTGAATAATATTGAATTTGGTATCTCTATTTTGATTTAATGTAAATTTTATTTCCAACAGATTGCAAGACAACAGCAGCAACTTCTCCAGCAGCAACACAAAATCAATCTCCTGCAGCAGCAAATTCAGGTCAGTATGTTTTGTTGCTCTCTGCTGATTATCCTTAAAATAAAATTGCTTTTACTCTACTAAACTAGAAAAGCTTCCAAAGGTCTGCTATTTTTTTTTTTTAAAGTGAAAATATTTCAGTGGAAGCTATATTTTCTAACAAACAGCTTTTGTTTGAAGGATATTCATTCGTTTTAAATTTGACCATTTAATGCTAAGGTAAACAGATAGTTTAACATGTGCTCCAGAGGAAAAATAGGGATTCAGTTGTTGCTTGTGGATCACTTTGTTACAATGAAGACTTAACAGCTTTCAATTGATAGAGTTATTACAGAAATCATTTATAGCTCTTGCTAGGTAGGTGTACAGTAAGAGTTGAGGGCAGCAGCGTTTTGTAGGTGGCAGACGTTATTGTGTATGTGTCATGAGCACCAATTCCAGTTTTAATTTTATATGGAGGAAGAAATAACATTCATTACAATCCCTTCTTGAATATATCCAAAGACAAACTATATAAAAGGTAATGTTATTTTAGTGGATCTGTTGTGGTTATTTTTTTTTCTTTTATAAAAGCATCACATCATGGCTATTGAAAGTTACCACTACCAATAAACCTTTTTTTAAATAACAACAACAACAACAAAAAAAAAAACTTCCTATTGCATATGATTATCTACTGTGAGTGAAAATGTTGGATTGAGGAGCTCTTTGGCCTGATTCCACAGAATTATTTTCATATTTTTGTGTAAAAGGTTCCAGTCTAAATTTGGTATTTGTTTTTATGTGTGAAAATCCCTACTCTGCTTTAAAATGGTACGATCCTGGAAAGAGGGTTGCTTGTGCAGTTTCTAAATACCTTGTTCTGTTCTAACACCTGCTTTATTATGGGAGGATGAATGAATTCCTCTTGTTCAGACAATTTTTTTTGTAGTCCAAGAAATTGGACTGAAAGTAAAAAAAAATCTGTCTACAATTTGCATAGTTAGTTGGATACTATTGCTGGCGTCATAATATGCCTTCTGGTAGTCATTCTGAGGCAAAGAAAAAATTACTTCCAATGGCCACGATGTTGCAGAAAGTTATAATACAGGTAATTTTGTCTTCTTTTTGCCTTTTCTGCATTGTTACTTCATAACATTAAAGGTAGTCCTCAACTTATGACCACAGTGGAACCCAAAATGTCCTTTACTAAGCAAGACAGTTGTCAAGTGAGTTTGGTCCCATTTTACAACCTTTCTTGACACAGTTGTTAAATGAACCATTGGAGTTATTTAGTAACATGGTTGCTAAATGAATCTGGCTTCCCCCTTGACCTTGTTTGTCAGAAGGTTGCAAGAGGCAATCACATGACCCTGGGACACTGTAGCCATCGTAAATATGAGTCAGTGGAGATGCTGCAATGGTTGTAGGTGTGAAAAGTGGTCATAAGTTACTTTCTTCAGTGCCATTTTGAACAGTCACTAAATGAACTGCTGTAAGTTGAGGATTATCTGTAGTTGATTCCCTGTTTATTGCCTTGTATTCTGTATTTGCAAAGGTTAACAGATACGTCACTAGGACCAAGTGGCAGTTCCTCTTCCTAAGAACAAGTACATTGCCTCCACTTTATCTTCTTCTAGCCTTGTTTTTTTCCCCCCACTAAGTTATGGAGTTTAGCCACTGCCAAACATTTTGTCACTTTATGCCAATCCAGTTGTTGGGGGTCTGTTTAGAATAAGAAGCTTCTGTGGATTGCGTCTCTCTCTTGTGTGCATTGGGAAAACTCATTAAAGGATTTCAAGCAGGTTAAGCTTTTCTCCTCCATGGTATGTTTGCCAGGATTCTTGGTGGTTGTTTCATCTTCTCCTGGAGCATCTTGCAAGGAATTGCTTTAGCTGCTATCAAAGCTTGCTGGGTCAGTGCCATAGCAGGCATGCAAACAAATTTTAAAGAAGGGCTGCTTGTGTGGTTAGAGTTGTAGTATGAGACTTATATTTAATGTATTGTTTGTGATTTGCAAAAGACTTTAGGTAGATAATGTTTAAGCAGCTCATTACAACTGACAAATGTGGAACTTTTGTCTGTTTTTTGGTGTGTGTGTGTGTCTGTTTTCTTAAATCAAATAAGAGAAATTGAAATAACTTTAAAACTAGAAGCTCTGCTCAGCAAAGAGTTGTCCCCGGTCCTTAAGTCATAAAGCTTGAGTACTTCATATATTTTAGGACTATGCTTTCAGTGGATGTATACATTTTAGGAATATACTTTACAAGGAGATAAACATTCTTCAAAAGACAATGTTTATAGTTAAATAAGTAGCAACATTATTGTAAAGCCTAGTGAACTTTAAATAGAAAGAAAATCAGTTATCCTACCACTATGTCTTGTCAGAAAGGCCTTGAGAAAGCACATTTTCAATTTCCTATCTGCATCTGAAGCTAGTTGTGCAGTTGTTTGGATGCCTGGAACATGTGACTACTTGTATTTCAGTATTCTTGGACTTCAAGGTGCACCTATTTTATTAAGTATTCTTACACGGCACTTCATAAGTAAATACCTGCTGCCAAAAATTTATTTACATAGCACATAAATTTGTCAACTAGCAAAATATATAGGTCATTAAAAAAATAATTAAACAAATGCAAGAGGCTGTTACTGGTATTTTAGTCTTCAAAAGTTTTAGACATGATTTAAGAATGAGAAATAAACCAGAGCGAAAATGGAAGATGATAATACATGTTGTGTTCCATGTAAATTTTTATTCAATAGGTAGTAAGCTAAAGGTATAATAAAGATAATATAATTTCATAGCAGCTTCCTTTCTTGGGCTTTAGACTATAATTATTAATGATGATAATATAAAATATTTATTGAAAATTATAAAAGAAGAGTCAAATTTCAATACAATTTGGAGTCACGGCCCTATTGAAAATGTTTTTAACTTTTGGCTCTGGATGCGGACCAAACATTTGCAAGCTACTTTCTGAATTAAAATCTGCTTGATTGATGCTGGCAAAGAAAGTTGCTAACTTTTTTAAAATGTTAATTCTAGATTTCTGTGCTGTGGTTCATACTTTTCAGGAAGGCTTGTGGATAGAACCTTTTTCTACTCAAGTCAATATTTTAGTAATGACCTTGTTGTGACATGATAAGAAGGATGAAAGGGGGGGGGAGTCAATCACTTGCAGCATGCTTGTGATTTTTGCTACCTCCGTTTTGTCAATCTGAAGACAACTGAAGACACACTTGGGGAATTTTAATTTGTCAAGGAAGTTTTTCTTTTGGGAGGACCCCATGAGGTAAAGTTGTGGTGATAGAGGCATCTCATGAGGATCTGCAGGGACGAGCATGAGATGCTCAGCAGGAGTGAACCAATTTAAGATGCTAGCAGATCTGGGACAATCTCTGCAGGAGGTAAGGTTGGAATTAGTTAGGCAACTCAGTCAAAGAGGTGAATCCTAAGAAGGGTGGAGAGAGGGGAAAAAAGAGTTCTGTGTATCTTATTCTTGCATGGTTGGTTAGTTTCTGTTGACATTGTGATTTGTATTCAACCCTGTGTTTGTTCATGTTCAGATAAGGTCACACGGACTGATGGGTTTACCTAAAACATTGCAATGTCAAACTGTAGTTTTCACTATTTCCACTTTTTCTTTGTTTTGTCTTTCTTTGTCTTCCATTGTAGTGGGCCAAAGGTATAGAAATACTGGTTCTGCTTTTGATCAGGGCTAATCAGCAAAGCATCAAAGTTTTGCTGGAGGTCCAATTTATACTGTATTATTCCTTGCTTGCATGCAAATAAATTATGTTGTATCCTCAAAGTTCTTTAGTTCTTTAGGTGAGCTGTGTTTTGGCCACAGCAACCTAGAAAAATCCCATGCACCCAGTACCCCCTCACCCAATTTTCCCAAATGCATGCAAAGCAGGGGCATTACAGCTGCCAAGAACATGATTACATTCTCCCCTCTATTTGGCTTTAATTTCTCATCCTATATTATATTAATTGTTTTCATTTTTTAACTCAATCCATGTAATTAGTACTATAGCCTTCATGTTGAACTACCATTATGTGGAAGAAATTTGAGGGGTTTTTCATTTTTAAAAAATTAAGAAACTAGTATGATAATATAGTCATAAAGAAAAAAAATCCTATACCTTAGGTTCTACCTTGTGTTTTCAAACAGTGATAAGAGCAGTGATATTTTCATATTCATTCTTATAAGCAATGGATGGAAACTAGTCAAGGAGAGAACTAACTAGAACTAAAGAGAAATTTCCTGATAGTTAGAACAATTAATCAGTGGAATGGCATGCCTAGAGAAGCTGTGAGTGCTCCATCACTGGAAGTTTTTAAGAAGAGATTGGACAATCTTATTTGTCTGAAATGGTATAGGATTTCCTGCCTGAGCAGGGGGTTGGACTAGAAGACCTCCAAGGTCCCTTCCAACTCTGTTATTCTATTATTCAGGTTTCTACCACCTACATTCACTTTGAAGAGTCATTCAGATATTAAAACTTCAGGCAGGCGCATACAACAGAGGACATTCTTTTAAATTCTTCAATCCCAAATATGTTCAGGGTTTTAATATTAGAATCAACATCTTAAACATTCATTGCTAATCCAAATCTTTAAAATTAGTATCAGGAGCACAATGCTTCCCCATCTACCATCTGGCTACTATTCTGGACTGGTTACATTTTTGGTAGTATCTTCACAGATAATAAAATATAATGCATAAAAAACCTACACTAGTTTCTCCAACCTTATAAGAGATTCAATTCTTTGTCTCTTGGCTGCAAACTCCTCAGCTCATTTATTTCTTTATATGGCAGTTAGTTTTGCTTTATTCAGTGACACTGTTTTTGCTCACTAAAACTTTTCCTTTTAAATCGCCACAAGAATCCATTTTCGTGTTCTAATGTTCTGGCCGTGTCACTTAATATCAACAAGCTTGCATGGTCTCATTTTGTTAAAATGAGTGAGCATGATAGTAAACAGAGGTGCAGCAATTTGAAAAATGACTGCTGCTTAACTGTCCTTGATGTGA